CCCCTGTGGACTCTAGTGGAGTGAATGGTTTGCCACATGGGCCCTTCTGGACCGGGATGACTCCCTTGGGGGGTCCCACTTCCCCGGCGCACACAGAGGGTGGTAGTTACTGCATACATGAGTGCACCCTGCTGCTCCTTCAGACAGCACCTGCCTCCCTGGCCTCGTTCTCCACGCAGAACTCCACCCTGCTAAGACTGAAGGTCCCAGGGCACCTGAGGGGCTCCTGCCAGGCAGGAGACGGGGACCTTGGCCAGCAGAGACTTTTGAAAGGCAGGAGCCTGGCACAGGGTGAGCAGCAGGTTTCCTCCATGATCCAGATGGCTGACAAAGCCTGACTGCCTGCCAGCTGCCGCCACCGCCTTGGAGCAATGGGCAGGGTAAAGACCACCAGCCAAAGGCGGTCTACCAGAGCGCTTGCACCTGGAGCCTGATTCAGGTTTTGTAAGTACAGTGAACCCTCGTTTATCGCGGTTAATCGGTTCTAGACCCTACCATGATAAATGAAATTCCGCGAAGTAGGATTCCTTATTTGTAAATCAAATATTTTCGTAGTTAGAGCATAGAGGACATGAAAAAACACCCTTTAGTCACCATTACACTCGTATTACCCAATTTATTAAACGAAAAAGGGAAAATACAGTAAAACATTTTGGACGTTACAATTATCATTTATCATTTATTATATTATTTATGGCATCAAGCGTGTACAGTATGAGCCAATCAGTGGCAGTAATGACAGAGCATGCGCTGTTACGCAAAAACCGCGATAGAGTGAAGCCGCGGAAGTCGAAGCGCGAAGTGGCAAGGGTTCACTGTAGTTTTACTAGGACACAGCCACGCCCACAAGCAAGCGGGGTGGGTGTGCTAGCACACAGGGAGAAGCCATTTCCTGGACACTGTGGCCCCCAAAGACACGTACTGGCTGCCTGTGCTTGTAAAGGGTGGCCTTGCGGACCTCTGGCCTGCCCTGTTCCCAGCAGCTCTGGTGGGGCGGGGGCGGCTCAGGCAGTAAGTTATGGAAGGCAACGACAGATGCACAGGACACTGGTCAAAATCCCAGAACCGGCTCTGCTCCCAGTGGCCCCTGCCTGCCGCCCTCCACTTCCCCGTGGGTGACGCTGGCTGCTGGCGGCCTCTTAGTGAGGCAGGTGTGTGCAGCGCCTCCTGGCAGCCCCGGTATAGGTCTTGGTCCGTAGCCTGCTCCATTGCATGCCTGCGGGGCCTCTCTCCCGCAGTTACCTCCCTCCTGGCTTGTGGCGAGGGTGGGGTCATGTTCCAGGGAGATGCAAGGATGGCAGGGAGACTTGCAGCCCCTTCTTGGGGAGGCCTGTCTCTTGCAAAGTATTTCCTGAGGCCCTTGCAGGCACCTGGCTCAGCGCTGGAGCCCAGGGGTCTGGCCTCAGGGAGTTCCCAGGTCAATTCCTAGTCTCTCTGGGGGCAGGAGGCCTGGTCCCATGGTGCCCAAGGGCGCCTGGCTCCTCTGAAGCTGCATCTTGCTACCTGGCCTTGACACATGGGCAGCCCTTGGCGTTGTCATGTTGGAGGGAGCTGGCCCGGGGAAGGGTTTCCGTTATTTCTACATGCCACCAGGGACCCCTGGTCACAGGCCTCGGTGGCTGGAAGAGTCAATAAGAGACTCCAGCCACGTTTGGACTGATGAGCGATGGTCCTGTGGACAAAGATGAGAGAGCGTGGGCTGGGCAGGGGGAGACCTGAGTGTGACTATCGGGACCAGAGCTGTGTGGCACCAAGATGCACAGGATGGGAGCCCTGGCCTCTGTCACTCAGCCACATGTTCATGCACAGCCGCCCTCCCCCGCCCCCTGCCACAGGGAGGATGGGGGGACACGGGGACCAGAGGCGTTTCTCTACCAGCCCGCGTCCACCAGGGTAGAGGTGCAAGCCATACACCCTAGATTGATCGACCAGTAATTATAAACAGTCGCACAGCACAGAGGAGAGGGCCCTTACTTCTGAATACTCACAGACCCACTGGGATCAGCGCTGTTGTTTTGACTAGAGAACTAAGAAAACATGATGAGAAAATTACAGAGACGTTTAAGCAGCTACCTTCCCTGTGAGTACATTTATTAAAGGAAATTTTAAATATAAATGATTAAGATTGCTTTCAAAATACATGAAAATAAAGGAATTAAAATGAACCTAAAATACTATATGGTGAGATTAGATTAGCTTGCTCCTCCCCAGGGACACGCAGCTGTCTGCACCAGGGAAGGTCCCGAAGGCCACCTACAGTCACCAGACTTTGAGCAGGGGCACCGTGAAGGGACAGGCCTCCTTCCTTCTGCTGTCCACCCACCCACCACTCTCCTCCTCTTCCTGCTTCCTCCCCCCTCCATGTGTCCACCCATCCAACAAGCATTTATTCTGCACTAGTGCTGCAAATAGTTAAGCATTTAATTACAACAAGATTGGCAGTTTGAACTCGCCCAGAGGCACCTCAGAAGAAATGCCTGGTGATCTGCTTCCAAGAGGGCACACCCTGTGAGCCCCGGGCATGCCGTGCTGCTCAGCACTGGGCTGGGGGCATTGTGAGCCAGCACTGACTCACTGGAAGCCTGTCTGATCTTTCATGGGCTGGACCATCCTAAACCCCATGAGCGCAACACAGACAAGAGGAATCCCCTGTCTTGGCTTGGTACCGTGCTCATGGCAAAGATGACATGAGATGGACAGTGAGCACATGGCATGTCAGAGGTGGTCCATTCTATTGTACTCCGTGTCGCTGTGAGTCAGAGCCACCCGGCAGCGTGCCGTTAGAGGACGTGCTTCTTGTGTAGCAGACCGTCCTGGCAATGTGGCTGCTTGGAGGCAAGGGGACTCACTTCTCTGTCTGAGGGTCCTTTGTCCCCGCTGTGTCTCCTCTGTGGCAGCGTCGCATGCAGTCACGGGGATGTTTCCTGGGATGGCAGTACAGCACTGCTTACTGCCACCTTCACGTCTCGGAGAAGCCCTAAGGGGGTACGCACTGGACTGCTACTGCAGCGTCACCCGTTCAGAGACACCAGCTGCTCCACAGGAGAGAGATGAGGCTGCTCCCTTCAAGAAGGATCGTCTTGGAAACCCACGGGGCAGGTCTAACCTGCCTTGTAGGGTCGCCATGGGTCGGAATGGACATGAGGGTGGGAGCCTTCTGTGTCAGGGCAGTAAGGCTGAGAGGCATGGGGCGTTTCATTGGTGACTCTCAGAACTCGGTCTCTCTTGCTGGTCTGCCTTAGTGTGGAAGCGCCCCTGGAACCTGTGCCGTGGCACTCGGCCTCCTCGCCTCACAGACAGGAGGGGCACAGACAGGAGGGGCACTGGCCAGGAATTGAACGCAGGCGAGCATTCTACCCAGTGATACTCGCCTCAAACCTCCAATTCAAGGCAGCCCAGAGGTACAGAGTAGACCCCACCCTGCCTCCTCAGGTGCTATAAGGATCCAATAAGGCGTGCAGAGTAGAGCCCCTCCCTCCCCGCTGCATTCCCCTGGCCGTCCGTCTCCAGTGATGCAGGTCACCAGGCCTGCCTTCTGCAGCACCACTGGGTGAGCTTTACCCCCACCCCCCAATCTCTTGACACTGTTCGTTACAATATTGCCACCCCGCCAGCTCATGGGGCATAGCCCTGTAGCTGTCCAGCTCCCAGTGACTGCAGACCCAGCGGCCCTCCTGCCTTGGTGAGCTGTTCTCACATTCTCGGCGATTCCTCTCACCAAGGCCGTCGACTCACCGCTGGCACAGATCCTGGGTTCTGAGTGGCTGTCCTGGTACTTACCCAGGGCATGCGACACACTGCCTTCATCACAGCCCAGGGCACAAATCACACAGACACCAGGTGGTGACGGCAGGTGGAGTTGAGAGGTCCCTCCTGACAGATGAGTAAACTGAGGCCCAGGCAAGTAGATGAACGGAGGCCAGCGGCCTGGCTCCGAGCCCCAATCCTACATAGTGAACCAAACCACCCCCGTGCTGTCAGTGGCCCCGCCTCACGGTGGCCCCTGTGTGTCTATGTGGACAGCGCTCCCTGGGGCTCCCAGTGGCCAGCTGAGGGGCTGAGGGCCAACCTTTCTTAAGTGCCTCTGGGAACTTACACCCCAGCCCCCCCGCACCAGCAGGCACTCTGCCTGGCCCCTGCTTCCTCTCCCAGTTGTCACAGCAGGGAGCTCCTCCTGGCCTCGGGTCACTCCAGGTGACCTTGGCCACTGCGGGCTGCTGTGAATCGCACGTGGCTCAATGCCCGGCTTGGGGTCCGTCCCGGCATCTAAGCAGCTGCGATCAACCCTCTCGCTTGGAGACTGGAGGCCCTAGTCTGCTTGGGTTTTCATTACCATACATACTTTAAATGTATAGTAACCTCCCAACTGCGAGCACACTTTCTCTAGAGCCCTGCTGGAGTAGCTGGTTACGCATTGGGTTGCTAACTGCAAGGTCTGCAGTTCAAAACCACCAGGTGCGTCGCAGGAAGAAAGAGGGGACTTTCTACTCCCATAGAGTTACAGTCTCAGAAGCACACAGGGCATTTCTGCCCTGGCCTATAGGGTCGCCCTCAGTGGGCCATGACCACGGCACTGAGCTCTAGTGGTGTGTTAGTCTGGGTAGACTAGAGAAACAAATCCATGGACGCACATGTGTATAAGGAAGAGATTTCTCTACGAGAGCAATTGAACATGGAGAAAACATCCCAGCCCGGTCCAGATCAAGTCCGTCAGTCCGATATTAGCCCACATGTCTGATGCCACAGACTCTGAAAAGCCCCTAGGTGTCCTGTCCCTTAGGAGGAACTCCCCAAAGAGCCGTGGGGCCAAGCATCATAGCTGGGACGTTCTTTCGTCCCCCAAAGTAGGGTCCGTAGTGGTAGCCCGGACACACGGCTGGGGGTGGGCGGGGTGGGATTTACATAGAAACATGGGTCCCGGCTCTGGGGGCCTCATGCCTGCCCTCCTGTAGCCCGTGAACCTGGAGCGCTGACATAATCAGACCCTCCCTGTCTTGCAGTGACGTCACGCCTGCCGGAGAACCACTCAACAAGAACAGTCACCCCAAAGTGGCCTCCCGTTTCCCCAAGCTGTCCCGAGGCCACCCCCGGGAGACACGCAACGTAGAACCCCAGAGTGGCGACCTCTGACCTCAACAGCACCCCAGACACGGGCCACATGGGCCGCCAGTGACCCCCGAGACCACATCTCCCCGCTGGTCACAAGACACCCCATTAAACTGGCCAGTCTCCGCTGCCCATGGTCCCTGCCCCGAGAGCTGGACAGATCGGGTGTCACTGCCTGCCACAAGCTGGGGGCCTGCGAGGACCACAGGCGCTCCCGTGGACATAGGGCCCCTCTTGGCCTAAGGAAGGACCTGCCACGTGGGAGACCAGGCCTCGCCCTCGGGAAGGGATTGCGTGCGTGGATCTGGGAGCGACAAGAGGCGCCTTCTCCCTGCGCGCTCCCCGGGAAATCGTTCGGAGGCATCACTTGGGGCCAGGACGGGCAGCTTGGCCGGAGGGGCCCGCGCCCCCCCCCCCCCAATCATGGAAATGTCCCCACCCGCTGGCTGCAGCCTCGGGGGTGAGCAGCCCGGGCCTGCTGTCCAGCAGAGGAAAGGCTGAGAGACGAACGTGTGGACAGGTTTCAGTGTGCAGAGGGCAGCCCTGCAGGGAGGCCCCGCCCCCCCACCCCCCGAGGAGAGAGGACCCAGGCCACCCGCCGTCCTCGTGTGCACCGCCCAGCCCAGCGCTGAAGGGGCTCGCAAGTCTCCCTGCCTGCTTCCTGCCGCTGGCCAGCATGGCCGAGGGCTGTGCTGCCTGGAGTTGAGCACCTCCCCATTGCCCTGCATCCCGCACCAGGCCCCTTCCGCTGCACCCCTCAGTGATCAGGAGACCCACTCGGCTAATGGTGTGTGTCCCACAGCACCTCAGAGCCTTCACTGGGGAATGCCCCCCAAAACAGTCCTGCCGTCTGGGGCCACCTGGTTCCCCCAAAAAGGACGAGAGTCGCCCAGCTAGGGGACTGAGTGCCACCCTCAGCCTGGATCCAAAGACCCACTGCCCCTCAGTGACTCTCCTACTCCAAGCCCCACCTGGCGGAAGGCCCAGAAGAGGCTGGCCTGTCTTCTGATGCCCACAGGTGACATCTGAGAAACTGCCCTCTCCCTCCCTGACATGGGGGCTGTCTAGACCCTCAAAACTGGACCAGGTCCCAGGCCTTGGCCTACCACCCCACCCTCGCCACTCATGTCAGTGGCCAAGCTTCTCTTAGGGACTTAGCGCCACCTGCACAGCCCAGAGACCACTCGCCAGCCCGGTCCCTTCCAGCCTGGCCCTTTACTCTGAAAGCAGTCATGCGCAAGGCCTGAAGGTGACCCTGGAAACAGGCTGGCTTCTGAGCCTGGAGCTGGGGTGGGGCGTTCACCACCTCTGCCTGAGAAAGTCCTGCCAGGGTCACTTGAGTCTCACCCGCGACAGTCGCTCTGTGGGAGGCCAGCTGCCGCCACCAAACAGACCTGTCGTCCGAAACGCTTTGGCCAATCAGTGTTGTGCGTTATTTCATTAAAGCAAGCATTAAATATTTGCTTTTTCAGATTGGCTTCTGTGCGAAGTTTGCACAACTGTAGCACTGTATGTATATTTTAAAAATCATTTAATTGGGGGCTTGTATAACTCTTATCATAATCCATACATCCATCCATTGTGTGTCAAGCACATTTGAACATTTGTTACCATCATCATTCTCAAAACATTTGCTTTCTACTTGAGCCCTTGGTATTAGCTCCTCATTTTACCCCTCCCTCGCCACTACCCCTCCCTCATGAGCACTTGTTAATTTATAAATTATTATTTTGTCATATCTTACACTGTCCGACATCTCCCTTTACCCACGTTTCTGTTGTCCATCCCCCATGGAGGAGGTTATATGTAGATCCCTATAATCTGTTCCCCCTTTCTCCCCCACCTTCATCGCCACTCTCACCACTGGTCCTGAAGGGGTCATTTGTCCTGGAGTCCCTGTGTTTCCAGTTCCTAGCTTTACCAGTGTACACCCTCTGGTCTAGCAGGATTTGTAAGGTAGAATTGGGATCATGATAGGGAGTGGGGGTGGGGAAGCATTTAAGAACTAGAGGAAAGTTGTATGTTTCATTGTTGCTATACTGCACCCTGACTGGCTTGTCTCCTCCCTGCAACCCTCCCGTTAGGGGATGTCCAGTTGCCTACAGATGGGCTTTGAGTCCCCACTCTACACTCCCCCTCATTAACAATGATATGATTTTTTGTTCTTTGATGCCTGATACACCTTGTGGTCACACAGGCTGGTGTGCTTCTTCCATGTGGGCTTTGTTGCTTCTGATATAGATGGCCACTTGTTTACCTTCAAGCCTTTAAGACCCCCAGATGCTATATCTTTTGATAGCCGGGCATCATCAGCTTTCTTCACCACATTTGCTTATGCACCGCCTTTGTCTTCAGTGATCATATAGGGAAAGGGAACACACAATGATATGGTTTTTTGTTCTTTGATGCCTGATACCTGACTCGAACCTCGTGATCACACAGGCTAGTGTGCTTCTTCCAGGTGGGCTTTTGTAGCACTATATTTTATCTAACATTTCTGTGCCCCAACATTCATTTTACGTTTCTCTCACAGCCAGTCTTGATTATGTTTCAAAAGTCAGCTGGGGAATCTGGATCATATGGGAGGGTGGCCTGACGTGGGCATAGCCTGCCAGCATTTGTCCGCACTCATGAGAATGCTGCCAGGCAACCCCCGGAATGCCCATTCCTTAGCCACATATGAACAATGCCATGCTGGGGGCCTGTGGGAGCCCTGCTCTTGTCCCTAAACCCTGAGCCCACACTGAAGGGGTTTCTGGGCCCAGTCAGACTCTGCTTAGGAGGGAGGACACCCCCCACACCCACACCCTCTGGGTCCCAGGGAGCCTGCTGCTCAGTGGGTGCCCAAGTGCTGATCCATCATCACTTGAAAGTCACCTTCCTGGAGCTAATCGGCTGCCTTTGGGGCTGCAGGGACAAGATACCTGTGGGCAGCTCAGTGCTCGATCACCCACCATTAGGCGGGAGCAGTGCCCTCACCAACCCCAGGGAAGGACACAGGTGCTGCCCATCCAGTCTGGAGCCCCCACCACAGGCATCTCCGGGTAGGAGCTAGCCTGGATTTTAGGATCTAGGGTTTGACCTAGAAAGAGCATCTTTCTCTGCAGTGGTCATATCGTGTCTCCTGTCGGACCCTTACTACGCTTCCCAAGGGAGATGGCCTCTGGGCACAGGGGGCAGTTGGTATGTAAATAAGGACTAGATGTATGCAAATGTGCCACCCAGCCACCCTCCTCTGTTAACAGTTTACACAATAAACTTTTTAAACAAATGTGTTTAATTTTCTAAAGCCTCTTGTATTAAAATTTTCTTTTGAAATAAGCTGTGGTCATTTTGTTACACTCTGGTTGAAATACACTGCTTTACAATAAATAAATATTGTAAAATAAAACCAGATTTATAACAGATTCCGTTTTGAGTCTTGGGCTTGGGTCTTTTTTACAGCTGGGCACTTAGGTGAACGTTTAGGAGGCCCTGACGAAGTATCCGAGGAAGGTCTCTCACTGTTCTACATGGAATCCTTGAGCATCGATTTATGCTAACCAGGAACCACCGAGGAAAGATCCCGGCAGTCTGCCTCCATACAGAGCACGGCTGAGCGCAGCCGAGCAAGGCAGTGCTGCTCTGGCACGGCGCTCACCACCAGGCAGAGTCGGCTCACAGCAACTAAACACACCCCAGCTTTGTTTGAACCAAAAAGCAGCAAATTCCCATTTTGAGATAAGTATATGACTAGGCAAACTGGATAAATTGAAGAGTCAACATTCCATCCAGGAAAACACTTCACTGGGGTTCCTATTTGTAAGTTCATATATGAAACGTTCTTCTCGGGTGGTGGTGCAGTTGGGCTACTAGCTGCAAGCTCAGCGGTTCAAACCCAGCAGCCGCTCAAGGAGAAGGAGTCGCTCTGCGTCAGAATGGACTAGAAGGCAGTCGGGACTACACACAGAGCCCTGAAGCGCTTCCCGCCACCGAAAAGTGCGGGAACCAGAACCCACTCTCTGGGTTCTAGTTGCCCGGAAGGGTCGCTGTGAGTCAGAGGGAACATGTTCAGGCCTTTTGGCCAGACACGGGGACAAGACCGGTAAGGCTTCCTCCTTCTGGGGCTCTACTTCTGGGTGAAGGACACAAGTTGGTACAGGTTTGCCCCTGCCCCTGCCTGCCTGAGGAATAAATGGGAAGAAGAGCGGAGCCAGGAATCCAAACAGCTGTACCAGGCTGCTGACGCCGGGTCAGGACGGTTCTGTGCCGCAGGCTGTCCCGTGTGCAGTGGGGCAGTGAGCAGCCTCTGTGCACTTGAAAGTGGAGCATCCCTTCAGTTAGGACAGCTACAGAGGCTGTGGACATGGCCTGATAGCCCCGGACCACGGACCCCTTACCATCGAGTCAGTTCCTATTCAGCGATCCCATGGGGCAGAACAGAGCAGCCCCCTCTGGTTTCTAAGGCTGCCCTTAGACCAGCGCAGGCTGCCACGTTTCCCTCCCTTGGGATGGGGGGTTCAAACCACTGGCCTTTGGGTTATCAGTCGAATGCTTCACCACTATGTCTCCAGGGCTCCTCTGACAGGGGGACAAGGCCAAAGTAGCATTTAAGTTGAAACTCAACTGGTCCTGTCATAAGTGTCCACCCGCCCTGCAAGGCCAGTGCACTCGCTCAATGGCAGTAGTTGGGAACCATCCCGAGATGGCTGTGATAACAGGCCACACACTTGTACCCTCAAGTCGAAGGGGTGTCCTGGTCTCAGTGGGGCCACCCACAAAGGGGCATGCCTGCAGCCCTGAGCCCAGTGCTATGGGGCTGGGGAGCCAAAGGAAAGGGCAAGCCATCCTTCTAGGGCAGCGGGTCTCCCCTTCCTCAGGCCTCCGTGAGCCTTTCACACAGCTCCTCATGTGGTGGTGACCCCCAACCCTAACATGATTTTCTCGCTGCTACTTCATAACTGTAATTTTGCCACTATTATGAATCAGGCGACCCCTGTGAAAGGGTCATTCGACCCCAAAGGGGTCATGACACACAGGTTGAGAACCACTGTTCTAGGGGCTCTGTGGTATGAGGAGGGGCACGCCACACCCCTCAGCCTCCCTTTTGCTTACAATGCGCCTGGGGAGCGCACACATTCAACTGCCCCCAAAAGGCTGGCACGAGGCTACCACAGGTGCCTCAAAGGAGAGGCCTGGCGCTCCTCAGATAAGCCAACCTCCGAAAACCCAGTGGTGTGCAGGCTGCGCCAGCACAGGGCAGCCAGTGAAGGTGGAGGGATGAAATGGGCATGCGCAGATGGTCCTGGCCGCCCGACGCCAAGCAGCTTGAAAGGCAAGGAACAGGCACAGGGCCTTGCCGTCCTGCCCACCCCTGGATTATCCAGCTGCCCGCCCTCCCCATCTGCAGAACCCTGTGTGTGTGTGTGCCAGCCACATTCCCTTATGCTCAGCCTCTCCTCAGAGAAGCCCCTGGCTTCCTGCCCATCTCTCAAGACCTGGTCCCCAACAGCCCTCTCCAGTGGAGGCTGGGCCTTTCCATTTCTTTCTCCAGGGCCCATGCTCTCCCTGATCCCGAGTTCCACTCCCAGCCTTAAAAGCACCAATCCCTTTGACACGAAAAGCCTCAGCCACAGAATCCTCTAGGCCTCCTCTTAGGACCCTCACCTCACGGGGCTCACCGACAGCCTGACTTCTCCTGCCCGGGACCTTTCCTTCAGGCCATATGGGCCTCTTTAAGACGAGAGCTTCTCTGCTGCTGCTGCTGCTACAAGGTGAGCAGTTCAAAACTCCACCCGGCTGGGCTTTCGAGTCCCATACAGAGTGATGGGCTCGGAAACGCACAGGGGGAGTTCTGCCCTGTCCTGCGGGGTTGCGGTGAGTCGGCGTCGGCTTGGAGGCCGTGTCTGAGAGTGCTGCTGCAGCATCTCTTCAGCTTCTTCAAGACCTGGTCCTCTTCCCACGTGGCTGCTCTCTGCCACATGGATCCCACGGCCCATATGCCCTGGCCCCTGTCACTCTTGCCTGACAGAAACCCAGCCTTGGCCAAGCTCACCACCCACCCTGGAGAAGAGCGTCGTGCTAGGTAAAGTCCAGGGTCAACAAAAAGGAGGAGGGCCCAGAGCCCACAACAGCGGGCCCCACCGAGGAACCCTTTGAAGATGTGACATTCATAAGGCAATTAGATGGAAAGAAGGCCCTTCGATAAATGGCACTGAGAAAACTGGATTTCCACATGCAGAAAAACGAAACAGATGCATGCCTCCACCCTGCACAAAGAAGTGCACAAGTGAATGAAGGACACCAATGTGCACGCTCCAACCATCGGATTCTCAGGAGAAAAGGCAAGGGCAGCAGTCACAGAGGATCATGTCACAGAAGCACAAGCAGCAAAAACAAAATAAGGCCTTGAGGCAGTTACATAATCTCTTGTCAACTTGTGAAGGGGTGGAGTCTAACCTGTCAACCAGGTCGCAGCTTGATGACCTCATT